TTTGTGCCATTTTTTAGTCCATCCAGTATCTTTCAACTTCTAGTTCTTGGCATTTATACCTGGAGAAATTAGAGAGAGTTTTAGGCTACTTATATCTTCTAGACAGTTCTCTCTCTCTCTCTCTCTCTCTCTCTCTCTCTCTCTCTGTCTCTCTCTCTCTCTTTGGTATTCACATGTACATGTTTGGACTTCTGCACACACATGCAATACACGAGTCTCTCTCTCTGTCTGTCTCTCTCTCTAAAACACACGCGCACACACACACACACACACACACACACACACAGCTATAAAGCAGCATACCTTGAATGAGCAGTTACAAGGGCACGACCAGAACAAAAGTTTCTGTTTATGCTCCTGTTAACTATGTTTAAATGTGTGCCTGGGGTTTTGCCTGACAGGTAGCCTTGCTTCCAGCTCAATCCTTGTATCCTAAGATTCTGTGGTGCCTGATAGCTGGGTAGTCAATCTAAGATGGGGGTGGGGGACAAATAGGTCACTGCTCCCTTCATCTGGCTAGTTTTCTCACTACAGTACTCATGGGATTTCAGATTAGTTAGTCCAGTGATCTCCTGAAGGCTGGGAGGGTTTTCCTCCACCCAGGAGGATTTCTTGGGCTTCAGCCAGGCTTTAAGAAGAGGTGCTATCTTGCCTTTGCCTATGGAATGTGCTGAAGCATTGTTGTAGTTGTTTGTAAAAGCAGCACCAAATAGTTGAACTCCATGGAGACTCCTGTGTGCTAGCATTACTTCTTCAGTTGGGAACACAAATTTCTTTTTATTTCCCATCTTGGGTGGGAAGTGTTTTTTTTTTTTTTAATTTTGATGTTTGTTTATAAAAAAATGTTGAAAGTGCAGGGATCCCGTAAAGGAGTCTTATATGTATTTGGAGCTCTGACTTCAGTTTACCCATGACAGTATACCTTCTTCTAATGTTCTTGAGCTGAAAATGCAGATAAATCATTGTTAGCAGTTAATCAGTGTCAGGCATTTTGTTGAGCTGTTTAATTGCCCATCTGTTAACATTGTCTCTGTTGCACAGTAAACACTTCACAATCCTTTTTATTTTCTTAAAAAAAAAAAAGGTAGTTTCTATGTTTGTACCTTGGGTTGTTTTTTGGACAGAACACAGGACCAAGCATTTCAGAGAAACCTTTGTTTATCTGTTCCTCCGCCCAGCTGATTTTTCTGCTCAGTCAGGGTGGTTCTTGCAACAAAAAATAAAAATGTATATTTTTTTGAGACAAGGTTTCTCAGTGTAGCCCTGGCTGTTTGGAACCTGCTCTGTGGACCAGGCTGGTTTCAAGCTCAGATCTGTCTGCTTTGCCTCTAAAATGCAGGGATTAAAGGCATATACCACAACACCTAGCTAGGATACTTCGTTTTTTTAGCATTATCATAGGTTCATAAAAACTAGAAATTTATTATCTTAAGATTTCATTATCTTCTTTTGGTGTGTGTGTTTGCATGTGCACACATGTTCATATGAGCTTTGCACATGTGTGAAGGTCAGAGACAGTTTATGTTTACCAATGACAGTTTACCTCCCAAGGTCCTTGAGCTAAGAATGCAGCAAATCCTTCGGCCTTGTTGGTTCTGGTGACTGCTCTCAGGCTGCTGTTGGAATGGTCTCAGGTGCTGCCCCCTCTGTCTGGAATGTTCTTCCTTCCTAGCCTGTTTCATGTGATTCACTCTCATCTTTCAGAAACTGTTTCCTGCCATTTCCTGCCTGGATCAGTTCCGTTAGTTCCCAACTGTAATTTGATAAAAGTTCATGAAGGGCTTGCTGATGTATGTCTGTAAGGCACTGTATGTATCCCTTGTGGCTAGAACAATGTCTGACATTGAGTAGACATTGGGAATTTGCTTGAGTATCAACGGCATCACTTTAGAGGTGAAAACCATGGTCTGAGTTAATTTTACCAAATACTGAATTTAGTCTACACTCTTTGCTATAAGGACTACTGACATTAGGAAGTAAATATAAGATGTATGGTTTCATAAAAATATATAGCTGATGGTTTATTTGTAATAGATGTATAATATCCCAAATAAAGACCCACCTCTCATTTATAACTCAGGTTAGGAGATCATCTATTAGTTGTGTACACATAGCCACATATATTTGCCTTGAAAAGCAGGACAATGTCTAACGCTGGGATCTTAAGGTTTGATTTCTGTTTTCTCTTAGCTTGGTTTCATTTCTTTATTTTAAAAGTAGCTGAAGAGCTGACAGGGAAAATAAGCAGAGGAGAGATGGAAAGGACAGAATGATCTGGGCTCATTCAGAAAGAAAGCTGGCAGAACAGGTCATTGGAAAAGGAGGCTTCTGTAAATCGGATGCCGTTGTTTGTAATTTCAGGAAGGCGACACGAAGTGGGTTTTGTTGTTGCTGCTGTTTGTTGTTGCTTCATTTTTGTCCTTTCTTTACCCAATACCAGGAAATACCTTGGGCCCCACACAAGCCAGTCAAGCACTTCCCCACGGAGCTTTCTCTCCGGCCCCATTGCTATTTGTATATATTGAAACGGCATCTCACGATGTTGCCCAGGCTGCCTAGCCTTGTAGTTGTCTTGTCTAGGCCTCTATAGCAGCTGGGACTACAGACTTGTACCAGCAGGTCTGGCCTGGTCCTTGTTGATAGTAGTAGTGTTTTCTCCTGGAGAGAGAAACTAAAGAATTTGTGACCTTGAGAAACTGCATTTCCTTTTACAGACACTCAATTTTATAGAAATCATTTCAAATAGTTACTTTGGCACCTTTTTCACATTCTGTGTTACCACAAACTAATAAACTATTGACTGTGGTACTTTCAAAGCTCAGGGCCAGAGCACCATTTTTGTTGTTGTTGTTTTGTTTTTTAAATAGAGTGAACTGCATCTTGGCAGTATGCATAATTATTACTCAAGATATGACTATAAGGTCCTCAGAATAGCATGATGTCACACTTTTTCTGGAACCTGGTATGTCCTCATAAAATCTCTTAACCTGTCACTAACTATCTGCCCCCAGGTCAGGGCTGGAAAAGACCTTTGATGCATGGAGTGTGTGTGTGTGTGTGTGTGTGTGTGTGTGTGTGTGTGTGTGTGTGTGTGTGTGTATACACACATACAGATAGACATATATACATACATTTTAAGAAGACCATACAGGACTGTATTTGGGAAATATTGGTTCTTGTTCATGCTCCATTCTTATTACAAAAAGTGTGGAGCCAAGGACTAGTGACATTGGAATTACCTGGGAGCCTGCCAGATGGGAGGATGAGGTTTCGAATAAGACCTGGAAAATCAGAATTGGCATGCCCAGCTGATACCAATGTTCTCTAAGTGCTGCTCTTCGATCCTGCCAAGTAGGTTGGGAAGCAGAGTGTCTTTAGTAACAAAGTGACTCACTGGCCCATGGAGAAACCTGCTATTATCTTTTGGTATCCTAAATCTTAGGAAATTCTCCCAAGGAAGGAGCTCAGACCTAGCTCTGTGAGTAGCTTTCAGACGAGATCAGGCTCGTTCAGGATGGTATGGCGGTAGACATGAATAGCTTTCAAACCACACAGTTCTTCCTCATGAAGATCCTTCAAATGTGAGACTGGGCTCTTTCTTCTCCTGAAGTATTTTCTCTGGGTGTAACTCCATCTCCCGCAGGGTTTGGGGATGACATTATTTTCTCTGGGTGCACCTCCATCTCCCACAGGGCTTGGAGATGACATGGTTGGCCATTTCTTTATGATCTGTTCAGACTAAATAAGCTTAAAGAGCCTTATCAGCATTACCGTCAGGATTCTTTTACTCCAGTTAGTCTTAAGTAGTAGTTGGTTGAAGGTGTGAGAAACCCAGGAACTTTGTGTCCTATATATTCATGGAGAAAAATTCTTTACAAATGCACAAATTTATCTGGATTCATAATTCATCACAACAGAATTCTGCTATATGTAAGGGTGGCCACCCAAAGCTTCACTTCTGAGTTCTAAAAGGCCCAACTTCTTGGTACTTCGAAAGAGAAATGTACATAGTATATAAAAATGCTATTTTTCTTTTTCTACAAGTTAAAAAAAAAAAAAAACCTCTTCCATGGCTCAGAACATCCACTGATTTGTGTTTCCCAGCAGTCTGTCACATGTCTGTTTAGCATACACTGAATTAGCCTTAGTGTGCTCAACTTTGAAACCTATTTTTGGTGGATTCTATCTTTGCCTGTCACTCAATGATTTTATAATTAGCATAACTTTTGCCTAGACTTCACCCTATTTTTGTTTTTGTATATCTGTATATCTGTTTTCTAAGAGCACCCTCCCCCCCCCATGTCGTTAACAGAAGCCAGCATGTGGCTTTGGTTGGTTAGTCTGTGTGCCAGTTAACCTTGAATATAAGAAAAGCTGTATGAAGAGCAGTCTCAAATGTTTTTTAGGACATGGCCCATGGCACATCTAATACTGGCTGCTGGCTGTGCTTGTACTGTGCTTATGCTGCTGTCTAGCTCTAGGTCATTATCCTGTTTCTGTACTCCTCAACCCCTCCTCATCTTCCTTTCTCCCACTCTTTATCTTCTAAGGCCTCTCACTTCTGCATTTAACAGTAGAGCTGTGTGTGTGTGTGTGTGTGTGTGTGTGTGTGTGTGTGTGTGTGTGTGTGTGTGTGTGTGCAGGCAGGCAGGTGTGTGTAGAAAACCTGAAAAGTAAGACAGTTGCTTCTTTCACTTGCAGCTTGCTTTTGGATTAATTGAACTGAACGGTATTTTTCCAAAGTTTCCAAAGTGATTGAGCTGGATCCTGTGGAAAATCAATCTGGAAGGACAGAAATTTAATGTGGAACTTGCTTGGCTGTTGGTTTTTTGTGTTTGTTTCATGTAGGTTTTGTGTTTAGTAATCTCATCCCATAAAGCAGCTTTTAGGAAATCACAGATGATCTGACTAAAACAGTGTTCTTATTATATTTGTTAATGGCTTCAACTTCTTGTGGCCTAGCCTTTCCCTAAATGCGCCATCTCTGTGTTTGGTTTCAGCACTTGCAAGTGAAGCAGCAGCATATCCCCCTCATCTTGAATTACTTCCAGAATCAACACCTCTGAATGTCAGCAGTGGGCTCCTGATGCTTCCCATCAACTTCCATCCCACCTTACTACGTCTTTCAGAAAGAGAGGACCTTCGGGAAACACACCCTAGAAGTGCAGGTCAGTGAAGGCAACCAACTCAGCCTTGTCTCAGGTCCCTTAAATGTGAACTGCAACACTGGCAATATGGAGTTACTTGCAGGTGGTGTCAATGTGTCTGTTTCCAGCTGCCTGCTGTTTTTCTTCTGCAGGTGGCCAGGAAGCCCAGGAGACATAAACCAATCAGTTCCCCTTCAGCCTGTCCAGAAGGCAGGCTATGGAGGCTGGGAAGCTTATTTATTTATTTATTTATTTTTGACAGATTATTTTTCATACACCAGCTCATCATTTATTCCAAGAAAGCTTTAAAGCAAAAATACCCATCAGGAATCAGCAACTTAAAAATGAACAAATCAACCCCCATGAGCTCTTGCCAATTTGTTACAGCACAGCCTTTTAAACCGTTTATTATGTTTTGTCTGTGTGTGCATCTGTGTGTGCCCAATCGCCATTGGGCATGCTGGTGTGCCCACACCCATGCCGTGGCCTGTGTGTGGAGGCCAGCAGACTACTTGCAGGAGTCAGTTCTCTCCTTCTACCTACCATATGGGTCCTAAAGACCAAATTGGAGAAAGTACCTTTCCCTACTAAGTTAGTGGTTCTCAACCTTCCTTATGCTGTGACCCTTTAATACAGTTCCTCATGTGTGTGACCCCAGGCATAAAATTATTTCGTTGTTATTTCATAACTGTAATGCTGCTATTATTATGTAAATATATGATCACAGGTTGAGAACCGCTGCACTAAGTCATCTTTTGGGCTCAATATTTCCGACTTATTTGGAATTTCTTTTTCCTTTCCCTTTCTTTCTTTCTTTCTTTCTTTCTTTCTTTCTTTCTTTCTTTCTATCTTTCTTTCTTTCATTCGAGACAGGGTTTCTCTATGTAGACATTGTAGACCAGGCTGGCCTCGAACTCAGAGATTTGCCTGCCTCTGTCTCCCGAGTGCTGGGATTAAAGGCATGAGCTGCCACCACCCAGCTGAGAATTTCTTGAGTTCTAATTTATTAATCCTGAGATTATTTGTGGTGTTTTATAGCCCACCCCTACCCCAGGATACCCCTGGGTCACTAGACTAAGCAACACTTTCTTTTAGTGAACCTAGACTTGGATGGTCAGATGAGATCCTCGATTTCTTCCTGCTTCCAACCTCCCGACAGAATCTGGCCTGGAATCTTGATGTTGCCTTTCTTGTCAATCTTTCCATTTTCTGGCATCAAGGGGATGGGAGGATTTTGAGAGTCCTTAGAATAACAAACGTTATAGATTGAAGTTCCAGCCCTGCTGCAGACATTGTAGATGTCCTCGAGCAGATTTCACCCTTTCTGTGTAGTGTTTCCATCAGTACAGGAGGGATGACAAAACAAATACCCATTTTAGAGGCTGACTTTAGCTAAAGATTCCTGCATCTAGAACATTCAGATCAGTTTTTACCAGGTAAGTGTCTGGTAAATTTTAGCTGTTTGTTATCTGCTGCTGCTCAGTGTGCTGATTGGGTTTTGTCAACTTGACAGGCTGGGGTTGTTTGGGAAGAGGAATGCTCAGCTGAGAAAATGCCTCCACTTGTGGGAGGGCCTAGCCCCTTGTGAGCTGTGCTGCTTTGGGACAGGTGGGTTCTGAGATAGCTATGGAGAGTAAGCCAGGAAGCAACAACATTCCTTTATGGCCTCTACTTCAGTTCCTGCCTTCCCTGACTTGTCTTGATGATAGATTGTAGCTGTGATGCAAAATAATCCCGAAATGAAACTCCCCAGTTTCATTTGCTTTTGACCAGTGTTTTGTCATAGCAATGGAAAGCAAAGCACCGAGTGCTGTGTTCATTCCTCTGTATCCGTTTGCTGCTCTAGAGCTTGTAGGATTTCCAGTCTTCACCCTCACCTTTAAACGTGCTGAGTCACAGGTTCTGCTTCCACATCTAGAACACAAAAGTTGACTCTTTCTCAACACAACAAGATATCTTAGTATACGATGAACCTGTTCGCCAACTTTGATTATTTGTAAAGTTCTTGATTCTGTTATTTTTAGAAAATTTTTCGAAGCAAGGTTTAGTGATAAACACCGGTAATCCCAGCAGCTGGGGAGTGGAGGCCTGGCTAGCTAGCTATATAGTGAGCTTGCTGGACAGCAAGCTGTGGGATGCCTGTTTCAAGAGGAAAAAATTGAAATACTGATTATAAATAGGGATTTGCTCGATTTTCATTATTTCTCAGTATCTGTGTCAGTTTTATTAGGAAAATCATAAGAAGGCATAGTTTCCCTAGCAGAAATAGGATTTAATTTTGGATTTGGCCAAAGAATTCCCACTACTGTTTCGAATGCCTTTTAGTTTGCATTCAGAAGCTTGAGGTTAAGGAAGACTTCCTGTCAGTAGACACTTAAAAAATGTCAAATTTACTGCACAGACATAATCGTTACTGTGGTAACAGCAACTTCATTTTTGAAGCTATTATTAGCATCATGTCACATGCTCTGTAAGCTCTTTACCTCTTGTGTTTTCAAAATCGTTTTTGGGTAAACACTTGGTATAAGGCCAGTTGTACTAACTGTAAAAGAAACAATTAAAATAAGATTTAAAAAGTTCTTGTAACCTGCCAGATGCTTCAGTTACATTTATTACTTGTAACACTTGTGTTACATAGCCTCACTACTCCCCATTTTATAGAGGAAAAAGAGACACAAAGAAGCTAAGCAAATTCCAGAGTCTTTTGAGTAAGTCAGGAATTGCTGAGGCTCAAATTTAAGGATTCAACTGCCAAACAGGCAATCTTAACACCCAGTTACATTGCTGCCTACAGACTGTAAACAGCATGAAGAAGATGATGAGAAGCAAATGGAAGGACTAAACTATACAGAGGTCTAGAATAGCCAGTGAAAGTTTTGCTGTGGGTTCATGGCAAGCTGGGACTGACTGACTGCACTTGGAGAGCTTTATGCCAGCTCTCACATGTGGGCTGGTTTAAAGGGAAGATTAGAGATCATTTCGAGTAGCTGAGTGAGACGTAATGAGAATGAGGGTTTGGGAAACAAGATTAAGACAGCAGCCTGGGAGCCTGAATGTGGAGGGCCAGGGTGGAAAGTGGAGATCTGGAAGGTCATGCAGAGGAGTGACTCGAAACCCAGGCCCTGTGGAACCACCCAGAGGGAAGTGGGCTGGGCATTTAACACCCTAGAGTTCAGCAAGAATGGGACCAAAGAAAGACCATTTTAGGAGCATCGTTTCATTCCTTCCTGATTTGTTTATTCACTGCATAAGTAAGTGCTATTGTGCCTTCACCAAGACAGGAATTGTGCAAAGGGGAAGGGTCTTCGTCCCCATAAAAACGCTGCGCTGTTCTCAGACTTGGTTACTTGAGGTTAAACACTTTTGGACAGGTTTCTTTTTTACAACCTTGGCTGTTCTTCCGTAGTTTAGTATGTAAGGCCTCATTTGAAGTGTCCTAAGCTTTTGATCTTAGATTAGTATCTCTAAGATTGTTATTCTTGGATCCAGTGCAGTAATGGGAAATACTATTGTCATTGTGTGAATAGTGATTCATTTGGCACTTTTAAAAAGACCTTTATGTTACAATTACTTCTATTTGTTTTTATTTATGTACTTATTTATTTGGTGTGTGTGTGTGTGTGTGTGTGTGTGTGTGTGTGGGTGGGTGGGTGTGTAAGAGAGAGAGAGAGAGAGAGAGAGAGAGAGAGAGAGAGAGAGAGAGAGACTGGCAAAGGACAACTTACAGAAGTTGGTTCTGGGGATTGAACTCAGGCTCAAGAGGGGATCTGCATATCCCCCCACCAAAAGAAAAAAAAAGAAAAAAAAAACACATGAGTAGTATCATGGGACTGTGGTAGTGGTTAGGGGATTAAACTGGCAATTACACAGGAGCAACCGTGTCTTGTGAGTTTACAAATAAACCATAGACATTCCCTGCTATGTGGAGTGGATCTTTTCTTCAATTCCTCTTATCCTCAAAGGGTATTTGATTTGTTTCTTCAAAGAAAATTCTATTTGCCACTTTCAAAGATGCCTAAAGGCTGAAGCATTGCAGTTGAAAGGAACTTCTGAAACCTCAAAACCCCTAGTTTGCATGAGGGCCTGACCCTCTCAGTGGGGTCCTGTGACTTCCAGTAGGGCTTTGTAAGCACAAATCACCCAGGGGCCTGCAAAAGTCTCTCTGCTGACTCAGTGGACCTTCCTGGTGATGCCTAATTCTGGACCATACTGTAGTACCAAGAAAATGAGATAGTTTGACTTTACCAGTGACAGATAACCAAAATCATTTTGACTTTGTGCAGCTTCACGTCCGTACCACACTGAGTGCTGTTCTCCATATCCTGGCATTCTTATGAGTTATGTTGAGCTATATGCACATAATCTGTGTGTTATGAATACATTTAGAGCTCCATTTGTTTGGTGGTTTTTGTCTTATTCAACAGCACCGGTGACTTTCCATTTTAATCAATTGAAGCAAATATGTCATTTAAAGATAGGTATCAGAATTCAATGTAAAGTCTTTGTATAAAGTTAAAAATATTTGCTCTACTGTCTAGGTGTGATTTGTGTTGCTATGATAAAATACCAAAACAAACATGGGGAGGAAAGGGTTTATTTGGCTTATAGGCTCAGTCAGTTGAAGAAGGAAGCCAAGTAAGGAAATCAAGGCAGGGAATGAAGAGACCATGGAGGAACACTACTTACTGGCTTGCTCCCCAGGGCTTGCTCAGCTTTGCAAGCCTATTTTTCTACAAACCAGGCCCACTCAGTCAGGAGTGGTACCGCCTTCAGTGGGCTGGGCCCTCCTACAATCAATCATTAATCAAGAAAACTTAATACAGACTCACCCACAGAACAATCCAGTGGACACATTTTCTCAACTGAGGTTCTTTCTTCCCAAATGTCTTCTAGCTTATGCCAAATTGACTTAAAACTATCCAGCATGCATAGCTTGCTCAGCTTGGTTGCTTGTGTAACCCAGAACCATAGTGAGCTAGGCGGTTCCACATCAATCACCAATCAAGCAAATGCCTCACAGG